TAACTCACGAACTTCTACTGAATGCTAAATACAAAGTCTGAATAAGAATACAGTACTGTCTGATCCGATACAAGGGAGATCAAACGAAAGACAGAGATAGGAGAGACTCCGGGCCATGCGGACGCCAGCAAGGCTACCTCGGAAATCTCCGGACTGAAGTAAGCTCCCAACGCTCCTACTGCCGTCCAAAAGCTCCTACTCCAGTACTATGATCTGTGCAAAAAGCACAGAAGTGTAGCATCAGCACAACCGACCCCATGTGCTGGTAAGTGCCTGGCCTAACCCCGGCGAAGTAGTGACGAGGCTAGACAGGACCTACCAAAAATAACCTGTGCAGATATACATATACAAAGGCAACGGAAATAACAACAGAGAACATCAACTAACGGTTTAACCCGGCAAGGGTACAACTAACAGCCCAATTATCCCGGCAAGGGAGCAACAACAATAATCTACTACGTGTCCCGGCAAGGGAAAAGCCACAACACTTTCTCTTTTAATCACTTCTTTCTCAATTATCAAATTCTAGTTCGAGACAACGATCCAATAATATACCAATCGCAATTCCTCCTCAACCCTTCACATTATAGGAAACTTAGCAATTAAACAAGAAAGATGTTTCACAAAGTCCGGTTCAAACACAATTAAGACCCACGGTCATGCTAGACTCCGGTGTATAGATAACTGTCACCATACCTATACACCGTACTCTTCATTTAGCAATTAGCAAATAATATCCTAATCCTATTCCCTCTAAACAAAGCTAGAACAAACACTTACCTCGGTCCAAGAATAGCAATCAACTCTCCAATACCACCTTTCCTCTACAATCCGACTCTGAAACAACGATATCTAGGCATAATCAATTCAATAATATCAATAAAGACTCAAGAACAAAATCCCATAGCCTAGAAATGAAGTCCCTACTATTCTTCCAAACATACCAAAATTCGACACCGGTCCCACATGGTCCAAATACGAGGCTCGGACCCAAACCCAATCACCCATAACCCCACGAGTTCAAATATATAATTTATTTTAAGATTCGACCCCAAATTGAGGTTGAATCACCCAAAATTCTCAAAATCCTAACTCTACCCAAAACCCCCTAATTTCTACTATGATTTCATGATTTAGGGCTAGGAATTTAGTAATTACTAGAGGAAATTGAAGAAAACAAGTTAGATGATACTTACCCAAGAAGCTTTGGTGAAGAATAGCTCTAAAAATCGCTTATGGGGTGTGGGGAAGAAGAGCTCGTGTGAAATTTGGGAATAAGCCCGAAATGGCTACTGTTTTGAACTTAAAAATTCGCTGGGCAAAATTGCCCTTCGGGTTCGCGGGAAAGGGGCCGCGTTCGCGAAGGGTAAACTGGACACTTCACCGCGAACGCGTAGAAGAAAATGTTGGGGGGTCCAGGGACTGTTATACGCGGACGCATTAAGGGCCACGCGAACGCGTTGAGGAAGCTGGTGAAGCTACGCGTTCGCGATAATGATGATGCGAACGCGAAGGAGGGGGAATTAGAACTACGCGATCACGTGAAGTAGGACGCGAACGCGTAAGAGGGGAATACCAAAGCACTGCGAACGCGAGCCTGAGGCCGCGTTCGCAAAGTACAAAATGCCTGTGTAAAAATGCAACAAAATCTGATCCTTTCCTAAGTGTAAAAACACCCCGAACCACCTCCAATTCACTCCCGAGCCCTCGGGGCTCCTAACCACACACACTAACTCAATAACATCCTACGAATTTACTCGAGCGATCAAATCGCCAAAATAACATCAAAATCATTGAATCAAGCCTCAAGATCATCATTTTCATTTCAAACTTCATAACTTCAAATTTTAGATATTTAGGTCCGAAACACGTCAAATGACATCCGCTTTCGACCAAACTTTACAGAAAGCGCTTAACACATATTTAAGACTTGTACCGGGCGTCGGAACCAAAATACGAGCCCGATACCATAGTCTTTTAATCAATTTTCATTTCCATTTTCCTTAATCATTTCAGAAAAACAATTTCACAGAAAAATTCATTTCTCGGGCTCTCGACCTCGAAATTCGTCTCCGGGCATATGCCCGAGTCTCATATTTTTCTACGGACCCTCCGGGACCGCCAAATCACGGGTCCGGTTCCGTTTACCAAAAAAGTTGACCAAAGTCAACTTTAATCGTTTTAAAGCCACATTTTGAAATTTTTCACAGAATTTAACATATAAGCTTTCCGGCTACGCGCCCGGACTGCGCACACAAATCGAGGCAAGCAAAAATGAGGTTTTCAAGGCCTCAGAAGCATGGAAAAAGAGAGAAATCCGGTGATGACCCTTTGGGTCGTCACAAATTATTTGGACATATGTGCTCTCAAAATTTCTTTTTTTAAACGTATATTTCTTCCCATCATTCAAATTTTAAGAGTTTTTGTTTCCTATAAAGCAATAGTAGTATAAATTTTCATAATCAATAATTGAAGATAAAATCATCTAATTTTATTATATGTATCTCTATAATCTTATAAAGATAACATTAAAATCTTTATTTGAGCAAACGATTTTCCTGAGTAAAATAGAGTCTAATTTGACGTAAAATCGAAAAACAAGAGTCCTCTTCTGCTACTTATTTCACATGTAAATAGTTTAAATTAGCTTATATTCCCTTCCATAAAAAGTAAATGTCATTTTATTTAGCTAAATATATTTGACCAAAATAAGTGTTGTTTTGGGAAATTAAAACGACATTAGTTATGTTTTCCTAAATCTATTTTCGACCTAATAAATTACCCACAGAGTATAATGAGTAATTTTACTATAATACAAGACATAACTTAATCAAATAAATTTTGTAATTATTGTTTTATATGAGTTTTTTAATGATCATACAAAAAATTTAAAATGATATTTATTTTAGACATGAAGTAATATTAAATGTGAATCTAATTGTAATTGCATTAGGTAACTTGATATTGCAACAAAAGAAGATTGTCAATGCTTATAAGTAGAACAAAAATGTTATAACTCCTGCTAATTCACACAATATGATCATGAAATATATGCTCCTTTTAAATTTTAATTTTCAAGTACTAGCTAACACTAATAAAATTATGATTTTAATGACTTTATGTGACTTAAGAATAACTTTAGTATCCTTTGAAGATGAACTCAGTGTAACTCTAACATACATATCTTTATTCCGATATTTAGGTAATAGTGTTATTGGGCCCATGCATAGCATGGGCTATCCTTTACTAGTATTGTTTATAAATGCTTGGGCAGACACTAAATTAAAAAAAAGAAAAAATTAGTTGTCTAAATACATTCACTTAATGGTAGTAGTCGACCAAGGAATTAAATATAGAAGAATTTAAATTAATAAAATAAAATAATAAAATATAACAATAAAAATAATTAATGTGTATGTGCCAAAAATTCCTTACGAATTTAATTGCGGATTATTTCCTATGAAAATTCACAAGAAAATCCTTTTTTCTCACGAATTTTTACCAAAAATTTCTTGCGAATTTTCAGTGTTTCTTGCGTTAAAATCCGCAGGTGATTTACATACCGATTCAAATCCCCAGGTAAGTTACTTAGGAATTTTAAAATTCGCAGGTAATAATTACCTACGAAGGTTTTTCCAACGGAATTTTTTTCGAAGGAAACTTCACGGGAAATTAGATTACCTGCGAATTTTTCTGTATAATCTCCAAAATAATTCCCATGTAATTCGCACTTTTCTTGTAGTGCTAACTGTATTGGTCAAAATCTGATCGCTGCAGTCGGCCTGGCCAAGATCCCGTCCAAGCGACGAGATAGTGAAGGACGACATGGTTTGCTCCAAACCCCCGTACTCATAATGTCCGCCGTGACAAAGAACTACACTCAGGGAACGACGAAAGCGGACGTCGTGCGAATTTGTATTGACCCATAGTGAGAATTCCATAACTATATATAGGGGAGGAGTCTTCCCATGGAAGGGGGGCTTTTCCTCTATCTGATTTCTCCTCTGTAATCTTCTTAGAAAGAGGAGCCTTCCCATGGAAGAAAAAGAGCAGTGATCTTCATCGATTAATGAATGAAGAAATGAAAAATATCAATGAGATTGATCTATCCCTGTTTCATTTTATGCATTATTTTCCGATTCGTTTATAGATCTGGAGGTTATTAGCCTTGACTAAGATTTACCTCTTCATTCTCTTTGACTGATTTATTCAATGAGATTGATCTATCCCTGTTTCATTTTATGCATTATTTTCCGATTCGTTTATAGATCTGGAGGTTATTAACCTTGACTAAGATAATTTACCTCTTCATTCTCTTTGATTGATTTATTCAAAAAGGTTTCAATATCTTTTTGAGTTAAACGGATATCACATCCGCTGGGGCATAAATTTCCGTGGACATAGTACAATAAGATTACATCTTACAATTAGGGTTTTGACTAATTAAATAGTGAACTATGAAGCATCAAATTGATACTCATATGCAGAGTCAGAAACAGATTCAAGATTTAAGTTTAATGAGTTTAATTTTTACGATTCTAAGCATTAAATTCATTACATTATATACATTATGTGTTCAGATCCAATATTTGTTGAGGTCTAATATTAATATTTCATATCAAAAGTTACAAGTTCAATTAAACCCGTAGTCTAAAGACGACATCCGCCTCTGTGCAGAGTAAATCATGGTTTTGTAATTCATGAAGTTAACTAATTGGAGTTTGTATATACCTGTTGATAGTATATTTAAATTTTTCCTGAAAGTCGTGATTCAAATACATAACTCAATAATTGATACATGTACACTAGATAATGATAACGCCAATTGACTGATGAGAGTTGAGACTTCAAATTTCACTTAGGCTCGAAGGAACGAATAATTTTTAACTTGCCAACACTGTTTTCACTTTATTCTAACTGTAATATTATACTATCAACTTTTACTTCTTCCCTTTTCTGCTTCCGAAAATTAACGAAAAGAGCTAAAGAAAATTATTGGATTGATCAAGTCGGGACTTAAGCCTCTGAACATTTCATAGCATTCAAAAAAAAGAATACATGGAAAAATTCCATCACATCTATATACTAGTACCAAGTACATTTTCTTTTTGAAAATTTCAAAAATACCCCAAAAAGAAAAAGAAAAAAAAAACTCCCATGAAAGCAGAAATTTATACATGCAATAAGCATATACAATCTTCATAGTGCTCCAAATCTTCGTTCTTTATTGCATTGATGGCCATCATCCACATGCATGAATTCTCAATATTTGCATCAATTAGGAGTAGGAGAAGCCTGCCGCCTCAAATCCCTGTAGAATTTTGAAATGAAATTTTCAGCAGCCTCATCAACATGGCTATCATCTTCAACGTCTCTCAGTGGAAAAGGCGAGTCGGTGACCCTCAGTTGCCTCACCGTCGGAGTCCTCCCAAATCCCGGCAAATCATTAGCCGGCGATGCATTTGCGCTCTGAAGCATCTCCAATGCCTTCACAACAGCCGCATTCATCACAAAAACGTCGTCGTCAGTGGTGGCCGGCGCGTGAATTGCGGCTTTGCTAGCAATTTTGCCACGCTTCATAAATAAGTTGAAATCCAGCATAAACTTTCTCTTTGATATGCCTTTTTTTAGCATGAAGAAAGCTACTCGTACTATGTTCCAGAATTTCTTTGCTATTATTGGCAAATTGTGATCCATTTTTCTTTAAGGATTTGGTTAGAATCAGAAAGCTAGAATTTGTGATAGATTATTTGATGCTTTGAAACAGAGAGAGACGAGAAAATAAATGTTTTTGATTTGTTGGAATGGAAAATATGTGAAAGTATAGGAGGGTATTTATAGGGCTTCCGTAGAGGGAGAGGACGCTTTGAAGTACTTGAATTCCCATCCACCCCACTCCCCACCCCTCCCCCCCCTTTTTTATTTTGTTACAAAAAAGTTTGTGGCAGGAATTATAAGTACCTTACTGTTAAGTTACAGTGATAACATTGAGGCACAACTCAGGGATACTTCGATTTAAAAGTTATTATATTTTATTGCTTTTTGCTTTTAGTTTTTAATAGATTATTATCACAATTTGTTATTTTTAAACCTAATTCCCAAACAAAAACTTTGTAGGCCACAATCCACACACCTCAATTTACGTGTAGAAAAAATTATAAAGAAGGCTAACATTAAGTATGTGCTCGCTTACTTTTTTTCAAAAATCTTCCCTACTAAGCGGAAGTGTGATTACCCATAACATCACCATAAATTGATTAATCGAGTTATTTCTACCATTTTTTCATGAAAAAATTGTAAATTAATTTATTCAATGTAATTTTGTTTAAAATGTCTGTAACAAGAAGCGGCACGTATTCAGGTAACGTGAGTCAAATGTTAATTTCTTGTTCTCGTTGTTTACCCTAAAATCGGATAACAATTGATTTTATACGCGGTTTTAAGGATACGTGGTATCACTTAGTACAAATTAAAAAGAATAAATTAATATTAAAATTGATGATGAGAGAATAAATGCAAACCACACAAATTGAATAGTCGTGGCCCTCGAGTTCAGTCACCCTTGAACCAAAAGATATTTCAGCTGACTTATGGCAGAGTAACAAGATAATGAAAGCTAGAAAATGATACTCCTTCTGTTCCAATTTATGTGAACATGTTTGACTGGGCACGAAGTTTAAGAAAAAATAAAGACTTTAGGAATATGTGGTCCTAAACAAGTCAAAAAAGGGCCCAGAGCATTTGTGTGGTTATAAAAGCTTCTCATTAAGGGCAGAATTGTAAGTTTAAGTAAAATTGTTACCAAATTTAGAAAGGGGTCATTCTTTTTGGAACGGACCAAAAAAGAAATAGGTACACATAAACTGGAACAGAGGCCCTCCGTTCCAATTTATGTGAACCTGTTTGACTGGGCACGGAGTTTAAGAAAAAATAAAGACTTTTGGAATTTGTGGTCCTAAACAAGTCAAAAAGGACCCCAGAGTATTTGTGTGGTTATAAAAGCTTCTCATTAAGGGTAGAGTTGTAAGTTTAAGCTAAATTATTTCTAAATTTAGAAATGGTTCATTCTTTTTGGAACGGACCAAAAAGGAAATAGGTTCACATAAACTGGAACAACGGGAGTAGTATATTGCTTTGTATTGCGTAAGAGTGATGTGTTTTACAAATGATCGATCAGACCCCCTTTATATAGTAGGAGACTCCTACTCTTGATACAATTCTATACGAGGTAAGTAATCTCATGATTAGCTAATTAATCGGCCTCTTCTTGATACGTGGTGGGATTTCTGCCGTGATCCTTGCCCGATTGCGGATATTTTGGCTTTCCATTATTTGGCTCGGTAAGTTTCCCTTGATCTTGCTCGATCTCTATCTTGCTTGGTCTCTGTTTCGGCCGATCTCGATCTTGATCGGTCTCTGGGTCACGAGCTCAGCGATCTAACTTTGCACCATGGTTCGATATAACACGAGGTTGAACCTTAGCCTATGATGTTCCAGTCTCGATTAGTCATACACAGCGAAAATCTGGTTTTGACCGTATACACTCGTGTTGATTAGTTGATACAAATTAGACTGCGGATTATAATTTTTTTTTCTTAAGACTTTAATTCGGGGTGGTTATGCGAAAACACAACTTGAATAGAATGCGAGAGAAAGTGTAGTGGGGAAGGGCATGCAAAACGAAAGAAGGCGGCTTTTCTGAAAGTTACAGTACATCTTTTATTGCCAAGACTTGCCCACAACTACCCACCACCTTTAATAATATAGTGGTCTTAATTATAGTAGATAAAAATGAAATTAAATTGATGAGCGTAACACACTAGTATAATTATTCATTCTTTTATGACAACTGGTGTAGACTTAGTGTTGATACATATTTATAAAAAAAATTAGTATACACACACATGTAATGTCCGATATCTACCCTGCTGCTAATAATGTCCAATATTTACCCTGTAATACGATTAGCTTATGGTTTTTTCTTCCACTCTTCTTGTTTTGGTCCTTACTTTTTAAATATTTGGTTCAATTAATTGGGAAAACAAAGTCAATAGCATGCAGAGTGACATGTAAATAGACCGTAAACACAGCCAAGCAGGCACCCTAGTTTTCTTCAAAACATTGTTAGGCCGCAGGTTTTAGGCACAAACAATTCTTTCTTTTTACTTCACTATCATGTACACCTAAGTTGTGGCTTCTCCTTTTTGTATATTTATGATTGGTAAATATCTGTTTGTTGTTGGTGTATTTCTCCATAACATACCTTTAATTATTGCTTAGTCTCTCAATCAAAAGTCGAACTATTACAAAACTATAGCCGTTAGGTTTACCGCATTAAACAAAAATAACTTCTAACATAAAGTACTGCATATATATACTCATAGAAGTTATGCAAAAGTCTATTTTTTTAAGCAAGTTAAAACGTGTAAGAACAAAACGATATTAGCAATAAGAGTAACTAAAGATAAAGAAGCTCTTGTAGTAAGCAATTCACACATAACAGCAGCTGCAACAATATAATTTTTTCATTGTTATTCATCCGCATAAATATCTCGATTGAATTTTCTGCATAATTATTCCGCGCGTGAACCTAATGGAAGAAGGAAAATACAATTCCGTGTAGATCACTGAATTGAATTCGTGATACTGCCGCTTAAATTTTGGCTTTTGGCCATTACCTATCTCACATGGAAAACTTATCAACCTATATATTAGATCCATAAGGAAGTCATCCATTTAGAGGAACAAAATTATAATGAGAAGAAATATGTGCAACTTTTCTGTATACATATGCCTTGGTGACCTCAAATATATGTCTCGGCATTCGACTATTGTTTAACCTCAAATTCGGATAACAATTAAACTTATATTATGGTTTTAAGAATATGTGATTTCGTCCAATACCAATTGATAAGCGAGAAAATAAATAAATGAAGTAGAGAATAAAATAAATCAAACCAGTGTGCTAGCCAAGTCTCGACCTCGACTTGAGGTAATCTCGAGGTGGGATAGTAAGAATAGTAAATGATAAAGCAACTCTGATGAACAATAAGTGAAATAGCAGAAAAGTAATTGAGTGTATATATTCTTGTTAATGAACAGTGATCATGCCTAGAAATACGGGTGTTCATGGTTCGGTTTGGGTCAGTTTTTCCCTAAAAAGAAACCAAATCAAGTAAGTCGATTTTTCAAATATTAGAACCAAACCAAACCAACTAGGTCGGTTTTTTATCGATTCGGTTTTTTGCGGTTTTTCGGTTTTTTGGGTTATTTATCGGTTTTTTTCTTAAATATGAGACATACACTATCAAATGCATATTCCGGCGACTACATTTTCGACGTAACACTATCAAATCAATTGCTCTTTGAGAAATCTATCATTTACCAAGATATATTAATGATAATTGAATCAAATAGTGATGAATAATTTAATTTACTCAATTAAAAATCGATTATTTTTAACGTGAAATAAATTCTTGTACTTAGAAAAAGAAAACTACCAATCAAACTAGAATGTAAAGGGAAAGAATTAGATGATTATAATAGCAAAGAACTAGACTAAAAATATAAATGACAAATATGTACCATAAAATTTTAGAAACTTTATATAAAAATATACATATATATAGGTGTAATAATAAATCTAAATAGCTATTTTTATAGTCGGTTTGGTTCAGGTTTTTTTCGGTTATTTTTTGATTAAAACCAAAACCAAACCAATTTTGATCGGTTTTTAAAATTCAAAACCAAAACCAAACCAAACCTAAAAAGTATCGCTTTTTTTGGTCGGTTTGATTCGGTTTTTGGTTTGGTTCGTTTTTTCAGGTTTTTATGAACACCCCTACCTAGAAATGAATGGGATCCCTCTTTATATAATAGAGGAGTCCTAAATAAGGTACACTTCTAATTATAGTAGGAAACCATATTAACATCTGATTAACTACTGTAGATAGATCCGTTCTGAGATTCACGCAATGATCCTCGACCAATTGCGGATATCTCGCCATTTCCGTTATCAAGCTATCTGATGTCACTCGAAGTCTATTTCTTTCGGCCGCAATTGATGTCGACCTCGGTCCGGACTCGACGTCCTAGCTCTTTGACGTGACATTCCTACCTCGACCAAAGAATCAAATTGGGTAGCCCCGATTTCTACCGTATACAGATAGTCCCCTCGTTTCTTAGAGTAAAACGATAAGAAACGACTTGAGCCTCGATTTTTTGGAGACCCCGAGAATGATGCCATCCCCGTGACGTAAGCGACTGAGGTGACCGAAGCGTCCCGTCGATAAAATTCCCCAAAACATTAATGCATGCCAGTGGACGTTTGGTCACTAGCACCACCGAATCGTCGCTGAAAATCTATTAATACAGACTCTTTGGTTGAATCAAAATTTTACTTTTACCTCCACCAAGTTTTTTAAGCCTTTTACTCTCTCCATCTCTTCTCTTTCACCACCCGTTGAGTCAAACTTTGTTAGTACCAAAAATACCAAATTTTACCTCTTTCCGCTTCCTTCTACCTGAATTAATGGCGAAAACCTCTATGACCGTCCCTCAAAAGGAGAAAGCTTCTTCCTCTTCTTCCCGGCCGACCGGTGACAAAACGCCGGTGGAACCGCTCCCTCATGAGTATGTTCCTGGTCCTTTTCTTAAAATCCGACTTCAAAGTCGAGAACCCTCCATCGGTCCCTAGCCGATGTGAACACGTGTCGGGATACATCTTCTCGATAATGGCGGGCCATCTCGAGGCATTGAAGTGAGACTGTAACTGGGGGGCCGAGGTCGTGGTACAAATCCCTGCTCCCGAAGAGAG